TCAGTAGTATTTTGTATTTTCATGCCAGCAGTTGTTGTGTGCACTGTCAGATCGTAAATTCGTAATTCTAAATTCTTTTTCAGATGGGTAAATTACACATTTTAAATTTAATTAAGAATTAATAAGAAAATATTATAATAAAAAATTAGCAAGTACTCGCATATTTCGTGATCTTTTACCAAATTTTGCCTACCTTTTACAAAAATTGACGGGTACGGTTGAACAAAAATTTTTGCAAGAAATTATGGGGTAAATAAGATTAATCTGAATATCATTATTTATGTTTTTAAAAAATAAGCCAAATTACAAATTTTAATAAATATGGCAAAACAAATACAAGGCATTAATATAAGTGTTGATAACAGAAAATGAGTTAGAGGGTAAATAAGATTAATTAATTAATTTGTTTGATTTCTGTGATATCATTAAAAGGATATTGTTTACAGTACGGTCAGAAAAAAAATATAACTTCTAATAGGATATGGTATTTTTTTTATAACTTTTATATTATATATTGTTCGTTTATTAATTATAAATAAAAATGGAGGGCATAGTCTTTTTATATATGAGATAATTTATAAAATTTTAGGAGTACATAGTAATTTTTTAAAATATTCATAATTGAAGAATAAAAAAGACTTGACCCAAGTAAATTTGGCTCGTCCACCAAGCTTACCATAATATTACAATTCTTAATAATTCTTAGGCATCTTCTATTTTCTGATATAACATTATCATTGAAAAATTAGGAGTATTAATTAAAGATAGAAGGGGAAAGATGGAAAAAATTGTAAAACATAAATTAGTTAAAATTATTTTATTGATAGTGTGTTTGAATTAAATAATTTCGCATTATAAAAAATTGGAAGGAGACGGTAAGGCAGCCATCCAACGTGAACCAGGAGGCCCGTCCGCGCTGTTCCTTTCTGAAGTTTTCTCACTCTCACTCCCGAGCAGGGCCCTCAATATCTCCGCTTTATACGTTTTTTGGTTCCCAAGGTCCTAAAACTCAATACCCAATTAATACTCTTATTTTATGATCCTTTCTCCCGCTACCGCCATTAGAATGCTCTCCTCCTTTCTCTCCGGACTGCTTTCAAAATCAAAAGTTGAAAGTTGAAACTTTTTGAATAGTCTGTTTAACCCAAAACCAGCCCAAAGGCCATGACTGAGAGCACGACGAAACCACCAACTCAGTTTCACTTACCCTTTCTTCTTCTCCTTCACCAAGTTCAGGACTTGAAAAGATCCGTGCTTGCTATATTCTTCTGCTTCCCCACTTACTGTTTCGCTTTTCTTCTTCTCTTCCTCTTGGCTTACAATGGTTTCACAGTTTTCTGGGTTCATGTCCCTTTCTTGGCCACACCGCTGTCGAAACCCATTGTTTTCTCGCCTGTGAGTGACGTCAGGGAAGAATCAGTTCGGAAATGGTCTTCTTCTTCTTCTTCCCAGTTGAAGCTGTCTTCTTCTGTGCTGTTTGCCATCAACAAGGATTCATCTGCGACTTTCTCGAAAATTCATTTGCCCATCTTGCAAAATTCGTCATTTCCCGCGACAACTGCCGAGAAATTTCTCTTCCACAGGTCGAGACGAGCCAGGAGACACAAGAGGGGCCTAAGAAGTTTGCGCTCAGAAGGTCAGGTCTCGTGGTTTCAGACCAGAATCAAAGTATTCTTTGCTGGGAAGAATTCTTCTTCCTCTTCCTCGTCATCATCCTGTAAGATCAGGTTCTTCATGACTTGGATTGCGTCATTAGAATCATTTGGTGACATACAATTTTCAGCCATGGAAAGCTTGTTCAAGTCTCACCCAAAAGCTTGCTTGGTGATAGTATCCAAATCACTGGACTCCCATGGAGGCTCTCAAATCCTGAAGCCATTTTTGACTAATGGGTTCAGAGTAACAGCAGTTGCCCCAGATTTTGATTGTATATTCAAAGACACTCATGCAGAGTCATGGTACAATCGTTTGAAGGAAGGCAATGTGAATCCAGGTGAAATCTCTTTAGGCCAAAACCTCTCAAACTTGATTAGGCTTGCTCTTTTGTACAAGTTTGGAGGCATTTACATGGACGCAGATGTTATAGTATTGAAGAGTTTCTCTAAACTGAGAAACACCATTGGAGCACAGAACTTGGATGCAAAAACTGGGAAATGGAGCAGACTGAACAATGCTTTGCTGATATTTGATAAAAAGCATCCATTACTTTCCAAGTTCATTGAAGAATTTGCACTCACATTTGATGGGAACAAGTGGGGTCACAACGGTCCTTACCTAGTCTCAAGAGTGGTGTCTAGGGTGAGTGGAAGACCAGGATTTAACTTCACTGTTACGCCACCATCTGCATTTTATCCTGTGGACTGGAGAAGTATTGCTCATCTGTTTCAGAGACCCAGAGATGAACTCCAATCAAAATGGCTGGTGAAGAAACTTGAACAAATTAACAAGGAAAGTTTTGCTGTGCACTTGTGGAACAAGAGGAGTGGGAAACTTGAGGTGGAAAAAGGAAGCATTGTTGATAGTATCATATCAAGGAGTTGCATTTTCTGCAACTCATAGTTCAAGTTTGTAGCTACCTAAAGGGTTATATAGAATCGTCATTCCTATAAAACTTTTCTGTACTGTCTTTATTGTAAGTGGATATGGACTGATTGTGACTGGGTTCATTCCACTATAGGAAAAAAAATATAGTTTGAAATCATAGGGCTTATTGTATGTCTTTCAGAATCTGGAAAGAAAGAGGTAAAAAATTTATGTTATTTCCTTCATGTCTGGATTTTGATTACGTTTTGAATCTGGAAAGTGGGATTAGATTGACTGATTTTTAATTCCAGAAGGGAATGGAAAAGGCTTATCATGATTGTGACTATTAAGTCGTGAGAGTGATCTCTCAGCTTCCTATCTGAATAGATCACCTACTTTCTCCCATGCATGTGACAACAAACTCATTTTTTTTTTGTCAAGATTTATTGACCTACGGGTCCGGACATTGAAGATTTTGGCCCAGTGGTGAAAGTTTTTTAACTCTACTTTAAATAGCTGCTTCACAAAAGCTTATTGCAGAGAGTCTGTCTTAATAAATCCTTAGGATGCAAAATGTTCTCCCAGTTCACTTGCTTTGATAAACTGATCATTGCTCTCAGATTTATTTTTCAAGGACATTGCAAGTATTTTCTGCTTACTGTTCACTCTGCTTCATTCTGTTCCCCTGTTTGAGGGGTATTCAAATCATAAGTTCATTGTGTTTCTGGCAAAAACTTCCATGAGTGGGTCAAAGGAAAAGACAATGAAACCAGTTGTGGATTAATTCCAACAAGGTAGTGAAACATGGAATAATGAAGTCATTGAACTATTTTTGTCTGTGACTTCAATTTGCTCCCCTTTCTTTTTCTGGGTCATGGTGGCATTAATTGCATCACATGGTGACAAGGTTTAATCATTGTAGGCATCTCTCTGTCCTTCACAGTGAGCTTCATGTTGATTTAGAGAGACATCCAAAGTACTAGTATCACTTTTTAACTATGGCAAAAAAAAAAATCACTTTTTAATTGAACCATTTTTTGCACTTTTTATTTGTTTACATTATTTTTTCTAATTTAGCATGTGACAAACTGAACGTCCTGAAATTTTTAATTTAATTTTTAAAATTTACAACTTAGCTTCTGAATATTTTGGTTAATTAATTTTTATTAAATAGTTATAAAATTAATATTTTTCAATTTCCAAACCTTAAAGTGTCATATCCCTAACAGTTGATTCAACCTACTTTCAACAATTAGGCGTTAGTTCACTCACAAACTCCTTGCTCATCTTTTGTTCATTTATGGTGGTTGTCAAGCTTTGGCTGGGGTTTTTTTAATTTGGGTGTGATATCTCCCTGACGCGAAATCTTGATCTAATTTAAATAATGTAATTATTTTTAAAAAAATTATTACTATCGTTAAAATATTTGTTTAAAATTATATTTATTTTATATTATTTTTATTTATAAAACAATAATTAAATTTAAACTATTTAAACTAAATTTAGATGATCAAAAAAATCTGCACTCTTTGCCTCTTTGCCCATGGGGAAAAAAAAAAAAAGGAAATAGAGAAGCATTAGAGTTAATCAGGACATCAGGTCCATCCTCCAATCCAAAGGCATCGTCATTTCTCTATTTTTTATATGATTTTTTTTGGGCCAACAAGCCACAATTGCTTACAAGACAAACTTACAGTCGTCACAACTCACACAACCACTACAAGACAAAGCTGATCAAGACAGCAAGAAAAGACAAACTAAATTACCGCACAACTTAAATTACACCAACTAAAACAGACAAATAGTAAATAAACACGATGGGAACTATATCTACACACATTATTCACAGAACAGTAGTATCATTTACACCTGCAAATTTTATGTAACGCATGAAGCCTAGATATTAGTTCATTTTTTCCTGAGATGAGGAATATGAACATCCTCCATTAGAAGTTGGCAGTTGGCAATAATCTTAAAACACATGAATAAGGGCCAGTTTGTTTAGGATTTTTCTGTTTTTTTTTTTAAACCCATTGTTGCCATGAGAATTTAAACAGAACACATGAAAAATGCATTGGAAAAAGCTTACTTTGATAAGCTATTCAAAGAAAAAGCTGAAAAAAGATTTTTTTTTCCCACAAAACTTTTATTGTTAATTTAATATTCTTTCAACAACTCATCTTAAACTTATTAACTAAAATCATTTTATTTCAAGAATTTGGACGACTTTGTTCTATCAGCATGTTCCATTATGCACTTGATTATTAAAGCGATGACCAAATGATCTCTCAAGTATCAAACCACTAGAACTTAGGGACAGAGACAATGCCACGCCCACGCCCATGCCACCGATGGTCCCAGAACAAGCCCAAGAGACAGAGACAATAGAATTTCCATTATAAAATAACTCTGACAAATGAATCAATGTAATCTGAACTCAACTCCCAACAGAATAAGAAAAGAATTACATAGCAATATTAATACATATGCACATTGAGATCTACTTCAGCTAATATTTTAATGACTCGTATTGGTGGCTTCCTACAAGAAATAACATCACATAGTAAAATTTCTCCTCTTTGTTTTGTTAGCAACTGCAGGTCTTGTTCCCCAGGTCCTGGATGCTGCAGCAACAGAACATACCCTTTATGAATCAAAAGCAGAAATCTCCGCTCACACAAGAATATGGCCAGCCACCAACTTGACAGTATGCATGTTACCCGTATATATATTATATTTATATGTTCATATAACTCATGACTTCTGAACCAGCCTCTCACGTCTCCCATTTCAACCTCGTTTCTTTGCCATTCGCCATCTCCCTCATCTTGGAACACCTTTTCAATCTCCTCCAAGGTTTTCCCTTTTGTTTCAGGAACACAGTAGTAAACAAAGGCAACAGCTGAGCAAGAAATAATCCCAAAGACAAAGAAGGTTCCTGCGACTGTAATGGCGCGAGTAACGGAGAGGAAGGACATGGAGAGCACCCCACTACTGACCCTACTTCCCACTGCTCCAAGGGCTGATGCTTGTGCTCTAAGTCTCAAAGGGAAAATCTCAGATGACACAACCCAGCATATAGGGCCAAGTCCTATAGAGAAGAAAGCTACATTCCCACAAACCGAAATAATTGCCATTATGATCCCTGCCTTTTCATGGCCAAAGAAAGCCAAAGAGAGGCTAAGCCCAAATAAACACACAGTCATACCAATAGTACTCACAAACAGCAATGGCTTTCTGCCTAATTTGTCAATGAGAAATATAGCTACCAAGATGAACATAGTTTTTTCGTGAATCCAACAGCAACTGTTGCAGCAAGAAGTTGAGTGTTCCTGTTATC